AGTATGATTTTTGAAGTAGTATAYCAAACATAAATCTTTCCACTACATTATTTAATAATCCCTGATATTACAGTTTTCCAATTTTATAAGGAGATCACYATTGAAAGACCAAGATTCATTGAAGATTTTTTGAAATGTAAAACTTGAGTTTTATCTAGTAGCATTTCATGTTGCTTAGTTAAACTTAATATTCCTTGGTTCAATGAAAATGTGATAAAAGTATCTGAACTAGGTCTTGATTAATCTCAGTTTGATCTGACCTTTTCCAAGCATTGCCGTTTTTGCAGTTTTCAATTTACTTTGCCCCGCTGTGTGAGAAAGGTCTTTTCCTTGATGCAGGGTACCTGTGTACATTTCCAAAGATTGATTCTTTCAAAGCTGAATTCACTTATCTAAGTGGCAGTTAAAGAAGCTTGCAAAAACATAATATTATTCCCACACAACCTAAAAAAAAAAAAAAAAAAAAAAAAAAAAAGAGTTTCCTTGGAATTTCAAGATGTATTGCTTTTGGATAAGAACATGCAAAGTACTTTGGGGATTGTACACAAACACCAATGTAAAACAGACACGTATCTCAGTTTACTGTGAAAATAACAAAGAATCAAATCTAGGGAATTTCCGGGAATGAAATGCATCTTTTCTGTTACTGATTTTCTAGCACTACAGAACAGTTTCACTAGCAGGGTTCATGTTAGCCTTAAAAGTAAATTAATAGARTCCAGATTTTAGAATATTTCTAATGACACTGCATTCACGTTTAGATTAAAATATTTTTTCATTGGAATTAGACAATTGTGAAGTCAATAAGAATCTAASATTTTATTCCCCTTTTTATTAAACTTTTTTATTCTAAACATAAACTTAATTAAAAGCAGCAGTCTTTAATCACTCTGCCACAGAAAATTGGTTTGTGTGGTTTTAATCATATTTATCTTATTCTGAGCACTTACGCACTAGATCTAAAAAGTGCTCTTTTCTCAGTGTTCAGGCTTTTGTTATATGATTGTTGATTGAAGTGTGGTGAAAAACTCTAGCAAAAATATAGGATGGCTCTTCTAGGGAAAGATAAGAAAGAAAGGAAAGCTGCACACCATCAGAACATCAAAGCAGTGTCACTTGTTGTCCCTCCTAACACTGTCACTATTTGTAATAGTCTAATTAACAGGTATTTATTGTTTCAGTCATGTTTGTAGCAGCTGAGTTTAATTCCATAGAGCTTGTATTTTTTAGTATTACTTTCGCCTGCAAATCAATAATAATGCAATAATTGAGAATATTAATGCAAGAATAACACCATGAATTGGGAGAGGGATCAGACTTTAAATACTCCCAGAGAAATCTTATCAACTCAGTTTTTGAATATTTATTCACTGATCTTCAGTAAGAGCAGTCAGTAGACTTGGAATTAAAAAGTAGCAACACTCTGTAACAGCATTTAACATGCTGCATTGCACCTTAAGTTTTTATACAGTATCAAGATTTTTGCAGCTTGCTAGTTCAAAGATACATCAACCTATATCCCCAAGTTGAATCAAAGGATCTTTACTATTTGCTACACGAGTGTTATTTTAAGTGTCTCTTTCTTCACTTTGCTAACCTGCCTGGAAAATTTCAGTCCAATCTGTGTAAATCAATTATCTCCAGYTGCATAAATGCAGAGTTTACTCCCTGTTGAGATGTGAAATCCTGCGTGCTGCAGATGCTGTCTTAGTAGGATTTGAGGTCCTCATATGTCTAACTTGAAGCCTGTGTGAATGCCCCAGGACATTTCCTGTGGCACTGGTTACTGAATGACCTTGAAATGTTCCCACATGTGATTACTGCCATTGTCTCCTGTCCTTCCCATAGCTGCCATCATTCCACATGCTAAAAGCATTCTCATTTTTCCTCTTATTCTTATTTCCTTAAAAAAAAAAAAAATGCTTTCTGGATTTCTTTTGTTGTACTTGAATAAAAAGGCAAGATGGAGAAAGGAGCTTCTGTTGCTGATCCTTGAACTTGCCTTCCTGGTGCATCCCGCTTCCCTGTGGTCTTTCCATTTACCTTGTCCATTATTTTTTGTTTAATCATCAAATCCCTGTTTCATTTTGTGATTCTCCCACTTTTTGCAATGAACAAGAAGACTCTCCACTCCCATCCCATCTCCTTCATGCACACAAATCACAGCAACTCTTACTTGCTTTATTTTGTTATAATCTGTGGAGTGTATGGCATGCTGTATGATGGGGCTGTTATTCCAAACTTTCTTGCATTGATCAAGTTAATAGCTTGCCTCAGTGYAACAACATTTCGTTGGAAGGAAAGCTTTATTAATTGTAGGACATTATTATTCTTTATCTTAATATAGTCTATTAATTTTGGGAGACATTTCATTGTTTAATGAATGCAAAACACCCTGCATGGAATTTATAGTCACCGCAAAATGCTTGAGCGATGCTGATGTTTTCAGGTCCGCTTAATGATGAAAATGAATTAGAAAAGGACAATATTTTGCTTGTGAAAGTATTTCCCATATGAGCATAGTGTTAAATATTTATTGTTTAACTATACATGCAGTGTTAATCATCATCAGGCACTCATGTCAGGACATATGGAAGTTAAACAGACAGTTAAACTCCTCGAATATGAGGAACATTGATTTGAACATCACTGCCATAAAAATAGAAATATTTTACCACAGAATATGGTGYTCTAAAACACATAAACATATTCATATGTTACTGTATTCTTAATCTAAAATTTAAACATTTTATATGTAACACTTCATGCATAAAAACTTTTTCATTGATGTTGAGGGAAAAATAGTAAAAGATTATTTATGAATAGTTAAAATGAGGAGTAGCAGAGTGTTTTCTAATGGACAGAGTGCTGGCTAACAGGCAGACTTCAATTTCCAACAAAGGGACATGTCTCTATTATGTTCCTAGTGTGCTAAAGGAAATGGGAATTGGTATATATTCAAAAACGATCAAGGCTGTCATCATTTTCATCTCTTAGAAAAAGTGCTAAAAGAGAGAAGCTTCAAAATGCTCTGTTAATTGGCTACATCTCTTATAGTTAACRTGCATGGAAGTTCATTAACTTTTTTGGTTCTGTAGCCTGGCTACTAACCTGCTTAGTAGGGTGACAAAATGATCTATTTTTTTTTTTTTTTTATGTTCTTAACATTAAGCCAACAAATTTCAGGGTTGAGGTAAGATGACAGTAATGGAAAATACTAGGGAACTTGATCTCTACAGGTACACCAGTTGACTTGTCACAGACTAGATTAAAGTTTCAAACGTTCTYTGTGTGAAATGTTATTTATTGTGTGAAACCTTGTTTTCTGCTTTGCAGTGACATTTTGTTTCTTATCGAAGTTATGAATCCTGTTATTGGCTGTATGCAATCTCCTAAGTTTCTAATTGCTCTCTCAGAGACAGAGTCCACGTTAAAATTACTCCAGAAGCTGTTAAATGAAATGGAGGCTTTCCTTTTAGCTGCTGTATGTTTCTGTGCTGTATTTGAGTTTTATCTGAAATTAAATACTGACAGGATGTATGTGATGTTATAATTAAAATGTCTGAAAACATCATATATTCAAGATAGCTGTGAAAAAAAGGAATGAATAATATTTCTGTCTGAGGCAGTATCCTCTCTGTGATGTRTTGGTCATTTTAACATACATGTTAAAAAACAAATGAAGCTCCACTAAAGTGTCCAGAAATTGAGGGAAAAAATATTTCTTCCAAAGAAATATTTCTTCCAAGAGTATCATTTCAGAAATCATTTGCCTAATGTAACAAATGTGTGTCATAAAATCTAGCATTATTATGAAAATCAGGAAGAGAAAGAGTGATTTGTAAAGTAACTTGAATGCAATAGCAAAATAATGATGAAAACATGACCTTACCTTCCTGCAGTTTATCATAATTATTGGGGACACAGTGGGGAGGATCCAGTGAAAGTAAAGCTTGCATTTGGAAGTACTGGACAAATATTTGCCTGATGTAAATGCAATGGTAAAATCAGAAAAGACAGCAAACTTTCCAAGCCATGTGTTAGAAAAGTCATTCCACTGGCAACCTAATGTAGTGCTATTACCCTAATATAGTCTCTAGTACTTGAAACTTTGTAAGAGTTCAAAAGCAACTTAAGTCCCTTACAGTAAGTGTGGAAAACTTCTATATCTACTGTTTAAGTGTTTAATATCCTAATTCATTTGAAAGCTACATTGCTGTGTGGTATTCATACCTAGTTTTGGATTTTTTTTTTCCAGTTTTCATCTTAGCACCACAACTGCAACAAATGCTAAGATTTCAGCATTAACTACTTATGTGAAAGAAATATAAATATGTCTCTGAGTAGAATTGTTTTAGGCTATTACCTAGGAAATCTGTATTTATGTATCTTTAATCTTTTCATTACATTTTTGTTTCTTAACTCCTAGTCTGCAATTGCAGCAAATTCTTGACATTACCAGCTTTTTATCAAATGTGATATTTTGTGTCTGATGATCTGATTCAACCTTTAGCTATTGGAGAACACACTCTCTGCTGGATAAAGTATTATTTCCTTTGTTGGTGCTACAGGTGTTATAACATACTCTGAAAAGACTTGGTGACTTCTTGTCTTCTGCTCCATGCAGGTAATTTCATATGCTTGCCAAAGGTAGCTCTCCTTCCCTTGTTTTTTGTACCATTTTAATTAAATTTGATATTCGTTGTCCTTTGAAAGACTGAGACATATTACAGCACACTCTTAATTCTCTGCTCTGTCCTAGTCCAAAGACTGTAAGACCCATCAGTGGAGGATGAAGGATTTCATCCTGATCCTACAGATGGAGGATATAGGCTTATTTTCTTCTAAGTGAGAATGAATCAGCTAACACTTGGGAGCACTAGTTTGTCTTCTGGCCTATTTTTGAACTGTTTCACAGCTAATAGGCTTGGTAATATAAGGTTTGGTAAAGCCTGTTTACAAGTAAGTAAATAGTGTTTTGATTTGTGTTTGTTTTTCAGAGCCAGAGCTTCAACTGCATGGAAAAGACAAGATGTCCAGGATCTAATGTGAGTTCTGTGCAGATACAGGGGGATTCAGATTATTTCATCAACCATCTTGGAGTACCAGCCATGCAGTTTTCTTATGAGGACGTCAAAACATCAGAGGTAGTTACAACTAAAAACAAACTCAAGATAGCAGAGTATCTTTCCTAGTTCTTTCCTATCAGTTGCTTTTAAGTTTTGCTTTTGGTTAGCTTTATTGCAAAAATAGATTTGGATTTGAGAAGACAAGTTTCAGAAACTAGATGTTTCCAAGTTTTTTGTAGACTTTCCTTTCAGAGAATTGCTTTCCTTTACTGTCCCTTTCATTTCTTTGATCTACTTAGGAAATGCTTTTATTTTGGAATATACACGAGTTGTTTGTTTTATCCATCTGTTAAACGGCATGGAATGTCCCGTAAAACTGATGTTTTTTCATGCAGGAACTATTCCACCATAAAAAAAAAAAATGCAAAAACTTGTTTTTACAGCAAAATAATCCAGGATCTGCACCTTGTAGTGTATCTACAGAGCAGCAGTTACAGGTCAGCTCTAGAAATGTGTTTCTTACACAGTAAGCATAATGCCAGTCCTCAGAGAGAAGGTGGTAAAAACTGTTTGTTGGCAGGAACCTGAGGAGTAAATAAGAGGTAATAAAGTTGTAAGAGGAAACATTCAGACCAGAAGAGTAAGTAAAAGTGTCTCGCTTGAAATTACCCAATGCACTGAAGCAGAGCCTTGGGGAAGGGACATCTGCATGGCAAGCACCTGCAGTCAGATCTATACACTGGCAAAATGCATTCTGAGAACTCAGCCATGGATATAAAAATGCACTGAGCAAAATGCACTTTGTTTATTTGCTAGTAGAAAACACATGGCATTTTAGTCTGCCGTAACAAGTAAACTTGGAAGACTTTTTAGTTGAAAAAATATCGTTAACTCAGTTTCTACAGATTCTTATGGAGCTGCTGGGAGGGAGCCTTCCTCACTAACCCCTGGTGCACAGACTTTCCCAGTGAGAGTAAAGCATTTTTATCTGAGGGTCACATTCTGGTTTGCAATTTACTAAGAAAAAGTAATGTTTGTAGGAAAATGCTATTTTCAAACCAATAATTTGTATATTAAGTATAATACATAAATATTCTCCATCATGCCATRTTTGCATTTGTATAATAAAAGGCTTTAAACCTAAATATGAGAATGATTCTAAAAGAGCAAGGTATTGAAGAGATAATAAATTTTATTATTGAAATAAGTGAAAAATTCAAGTTTTGATTGAAAATAAGAATTTTGTGTTGTTATCTACAARCTGTTTAAAAAGTTATTTGAAAGATAAATGTCATCACAGGGCCAATACTGCAATTGTTACTTTATACAACCAAGTAAATTAACTCTACTTGAGAAAAAAGGAAAAATTAATCTCTTGGGATCTGAAGAGTTTTTGCCCATTTTGCCCCGGTTAAGTTACTTCTTAACTGCAATAGAAGCATCATCTCTTACTGGAAAAACAAAAATTGCAATTTAAAATGTAGGCAGTTTCCCCGCCTGATTGTTATAAAGATCATGATTTCAGCAGATACATATTGAGAAGGGGGCTAAATGTGCTGGGATGTATTTTGATAAGGGCTGTTTCCAGCTGCTTAGGGGATCAGTTGTTTAAGACTGATGTGCTCAAATACACATATTGTTTGTGAAGGGAAAGAGAGGCATATCCTAGAAGTTAATTCAAACTCTGAGATAAAAATAAATGCAATTTTCCACCTGAGATTTCTAATCCTGCTGTTTAATGACCTCATCAAATGTACTTAGAAGAAACACTGTGCTATGCTGAGAAAATTTGTGTCCATATTTGAGGCATATGGACACAGGACGTGGGATGTTCCATACTGYTGTAATTGCTGAGTTGGCTCAGTCAGAAAACTTTCTGCTAGTTTGCTTGAAATAGATTAATGTTAACTTTGTATCTTAAAATGGACCTGCAGAAAAGATGCAACACAGCATATGCAGGAGTGTCTCCGGCCTTTTTCAGAAACTTGTTTCACATAGATACTTCTTTTCATTTTTACACTGCCTTTTTATCACATAAATAATTGATATATTTATCAATTATCGGGTAAATAATTTATCACGTAAATAATTGATATAAACATGATCTTGCCAATATTTGAGAKAGAGATTTGATTGGTTCTTGGACTTTATAAATCAAGTGACATTAGTCTGTTCTGCACTTGGAAGACCTTCTAGTCATTTGCAAACATAAGCCAGTGCAGGAGTATTTTGAGGTGTTTTCAAGATTGAAGTAGACTATTATTGTTTTTGTGGCATAGCAGCCTACAGCTTCATGAGGAACACACTTTTTAAAATTATAGCTAATTTTATATGTTATCWGCATAGTATCCGGCCTTCTCTGTGTGGTCCATTACATAATGATTCTAGTCTGATAAAACAGAATCTTAAATTTGTTTTGCAGCAACACAGCAGGTTACATCAATGTTAGCATTATCATTTTGTTATGAGAAAACAATATAGTGCACTTTTTTTAAAAAAAAAAAGTACTGTCTATTTTTTATTATTTATTGATGGATRCATATTTAGTATGAAGTATTTAATGGTAGCTGTCCAAGTTTGGCTATGCAAGGCTTACAGAACATTTATTTTTACACCTAGGCCATAAAAATTGTTTTCCGTATCTTCAGTCAAACTTAAGCACAGGCAAGAAGAAGTATAAAAATTACCTGTCACATTATTCACCAGTTAGACCAAGATAGTGTAATACCATGGACCACTAAGCTAATTTAGAAGAAAAATGAAAAGAGGTTTCTTTATAGAAGGCATTTGTATCTAATATATGTAGAAGAGTTGAGAATTTTGACAGTTTGAGATTGTATCCTCTTTAGAGGGAATGCATAATGATTTTTATTTCTCTTGAAATATGCATAACTTTCTGAAGGTAACTTTCAAATTTCATTAGAGCTCTTAAAAATGATTTTTTCCCCACACTGGTGTTAAAAAAAAAAGCCTTCTCGTCAATTGGCCTCTATTTTGCCATCCTCTTTCTCTTGCTCCCTCCTTTTCCCCATCTTTTCCCTTTCCATCATTCTTTTGGGAAGTTTACTGAAGCGTCTTGATTTCACTATTTACGTGCTTAAGCTTGACATATCTTGCACTTCCTTCAGAAGAAATCAAAAGCTCTCCAGTGATGTGTTATCACAAGGGAAGCAGAGGAGCTGTTCTTGATGGAGTCCAGTGTACTGAGAAATAACTCCCAGGTTGCATGCAGCTTGCATCTCTTTCCAGTGTTTGTGCTGGTGTAGAGGGGAGGCTTATGCAGCACGGGGTGCTCCTTGCTGCATCTGGCTTGTGTCTTAGAAGACTGAATGGGGAACTGGGACTTATCTGTGTTTTTACCCGCATGGGCAACAAGGTTCTTGCCACAAGTTGTGTTTTACGTCCTAAGTGACTGAGAGCTCTCTCTGCCTTCAGAGAAAGGTAGACCTGTGTCCTCTGGTTTGAAATGTATTCAATATTTGCATTTAATGACAAATATTGTTTAAGAATTGCCAGTAAGACTGGGGACTTTACAAACTGTTGGAAAGCCAGGATTGCCATCCCCATTCAGTCTACGTTGACTCATGTGATGAGAGTATTAGACTTCWGATAAAGAGAAAGCTGCAGTCTTGGAAAGGAGAAGAGGGTATGTCTCTCTGTGGACACGTTAGCACCTGTTAAAACTGGTTATTCCATTTTCCATTGACTAGTGYTTTAGAATCAGCTTTTTATGTTGGAGTGTGCTGACCTTATCGAGAAGTTTACCAGAGGGATGAGCTCCTGTCTTGAGGTAACAGCTGGTTCCCAGAACTGGTCTGGACTAATTCTGCACCAAAGTTTATCAGGAACTAACAAACCTTTCCTCTTTTTCAATGCTGCTTGCTCTTACCTGAGGAAGGCAGCGCTATGGATTCTCATATATATTCTCATATACATCACATTAAGTGTACTTAAATATATTAATATTTGTGTATGCCTATCCAAAGTGGTCAGCAAGGTGTAACAGTAGTGTTAGATACATCACAGTGAAGAGAGAGGATTTGTTTTTGTCTATACACAAGAAATAAATTGCCAGTATGTTTATTTAAAAAAAAAAAAAAATCCAAACTGTCTCCAGCAGGTTATCCAAATGATTTTGGAATTACTTATGAAGATGAGAGATACTCATGTGTCTTTCCTTTTCTACTTACAAATTATAATGTTTTTCTAATAGTCATATTGTTGTTTTATTTTATATATATATATATATTTATTTATTTATTCTACATTTCTTCTGAGCATGATGGTTTCCTTTTTTTCCTGTCTTTTCTTAGGATATACTAGTGGTTTTTAAATCCTTCATGGGTTGTTCACTTTAGTAGTCACCAGTAATACATTAATACATTAGTCTGTCTGAAGTGTGCTCTTACATATTCCCTTGGATGCTAATTTAGTTGAATTTGGTAGTGAGTGCATGCTGACATTGTTAAGGTTAATGGCTCAGTGTTTTACAAGCCAAAACACATTTAAGTTTCAACTGTATGAATTGTTTTATTGAACAATGTGATTATGTAGTTACTTAATCTCCCGGTAGAGAGTCGTTGTTATTTCACTAATGTTGGTGAAACTGATGATGTCCTCTTTTCACATGGCGTTTATTGCCTGAGAAATCTCTCCCAAGTCRCATCATCTTGAAGGAATAGCTTTTTTTCTGGCAAACTCATGTGATGTGTCTTAGAGAAACCTGTGTAGAACAGAAGAGTGGAGCTGCAGGTTAACCAAACATGCAATGAGCACTGAAGGTAAAAGGTTCTGGTTTTAGATTTTTTTTTCCCCCATTTTTTGCCAGTTGGTGATTGTCTCCTATCACAAAGCTAAATAAATAATRTTCTTTGTAGATTTTACCCAAACTCAAATAGCTAATAGCTATATGCTATTAGTATATGTACTAATTCATGAGCCTTATTATCTAATTCTGTGGTACTTTCTTTTTAATGTAATAGTGAAGRTCACTGATTTATAGAGTATTTCATCACTAATCAGTGCAGGAAGAAGTAGCTGTTTTGTTACTGTAAAATAGTGGCAGGGTTTGGAAATTC